CATGTTTTTGTAAATATATATAATACGAGCACTGTACACCACCTATGGTGTATTGATTGCCTCTTCCGATCGGAGGTTGCGTTTTTCCCGAATCGAGACGCGAAATTGCGATTCACAACGGCCGGTCGGAATCTTTTGACATTTTTAATCGGGACAAACAATAGTTAATTTACTCACAAATTAGAAAGATATAGTAGGAATCAGGTTCATCTTCTCGCTCAGAAACCCATCTGATTTCTGAGACTACTCGATCGGATCGATTCCGTTTTGAATCAAAATCAGGACGCTGGTCTGGATATTTCCCTCAGAGTTATAGTTATTCTTGTACTCATGGTACAGGAAATTCCCTAATTTAAGGCCAGAAATTTGGTGTGATTGTCTGGCATTATAATTTTTTCCCGGTAAAATATTTCACTTTGGCATAGCTTCAATAAACAAATCAACAAAGCTAGAAATATCTCATTTCCACTACATCGGGAAGTATGCCTTACAGACAACCTCACATTCATATGTTGCTTTCCAAAGTAAATAACTAACGCACTTATGTTCTTTAAAACCGAAAGAACAACGATACCACGAACATTTATTCCTTATTTATTACTACTATCATCGAGTATATAACCAGAAATAGAGACGAAATAAGGGCCATATATTCCTGGTAACACATTAGCGATACAGCTCTTGTAAACTCCCGTTTGCACTGAAATATAGCCAGACCAACTACTGACCTGTGTGTACGTCTCCGTATATTCCAAAAAATATCCTGTATTTATTGTAACAAAGATTTCTCTAACAATGGCGTGCTGTTCTATTCGGTTTTGTGGGAAAAACTGCAAAACATCTAATTACAAAACAAACGGAATCACATTTCATCGGGAATTAAATATTAAATATGTAATTAATAATATCATAAATCAATGCACACCTTTAGATTTAAGTACAAGGTATACCTTTTGGATAACCAAAAGAGCATACTCTGATAATCGCTTACCTCACTGGTTCCAGACTCGAAGCGTAGGCCAATCGTCCAAGTGCAAGGTTTTGCAAAATTTCCTTTTTATCATTGAACCCTTCATAAGATTGAGTCACTATTATTATTATTTTCTTGGTTCGAAATGTTTATTTATTTCTCACACATTATTTATTACTTACTGCACAGAATATTAATTACATCTTTATATAACATATGTATGTATATACCTATTAATTAAGTAATTAAATTAGTTTACACTTATGCTGTTTTATTTATCTATGTATTCGTTTTGTATATCTAGTGTAAATATTTTTATACATACCAAGCCTCACGCACATGTTACGCATGTATTTATTTTGTTTAAGCTCGAGCCCGTGCTTCACTCATATCGGGTTTGCTGAAAACCAGCGCTCCAGGCTGAAATCTATCAGCCTGTAGCTAATAGCTGAGCAAATCCCGTTTGCGTGCGCCGCGACACGCATTTATTATTACATTATTATTTATTTTTTATTATTTTTATTTTTATTTTGTTTTAATCATTATAATTATGTTTTAACTTTTGTTGTAGGTACTGTATTTTAGTTTAAAGTTTATAATAATGTATTAATTTTAAGATCATGTGTGTCTCGGTGCTTACGCAATAAACTATTCTTATTCTTAATTTTGCAATTTTCGTCCATTATAGCAAAGCTCAAGTAAACTGGTCGAGTATTTATTGGTTCAGTATTTATTGTAATAAAGATAATATCTCTAACAATGGCGTGCTGTTCCATTCGGTGGTGTGTGGAAAAACAGCAAAACATCTAATTACAAACGGAATCCAATTTCGTCGGTAATTAAATATTAAATATGTAATTTTGCAATTTTCGTCCATCATAGCAAAGCTCAAGTTAACTGGTCGAGTTGAAGTGAAACAGTTGACGACACCCGTCAATTGTTTCGAACTCGGGCTAACCAATCGGAGCGCAGTTGTCACTGTCAATGACTACTATTCTGTAAATAATAAATATCATAAAGGCATGTACACATGGTTCTATGAGATAGTTAATCATTTATTCACCGCGATAGTGGTGTGGGTCAGCATTAACAATAATAGATTGTAAAAATTCAACTCCCTTGCCTTTAAGAGAAGAGGATGAGGAACTCAAGTACGCAATGCCATTTTCCGGGAATCAACTTTGTTTTTCTGTACCTACAGGTACCGGTGAAGTTCCCAGGAAATTCCCAGCTGCAGCCGATCCTGTTGCTAACACGCGCTTGGCGTAGTTTTATATTCAAGAGAAGTTGAATAATTGGATCTATGTAAAGAACGATAGACGTTGTGAAAATGTACCTCCATTCTTATTCTTATTGATTTACGTAATATTTAATTTACGTAATAGCAGTAGACCTCTTTTTTTTATAACACCAAGTGACGGAACGCACAAGTCGTGCGCCTGATGATAAACGACGAGCTTTAAATCACAAAGACCTGAGGTGCACTCCCTCTGCGCCCGTCACCCTGAGACATAAGTTCAAAAGTCTTATGTGCCTGTAATTTCACCAGCACCCTTACCCTTCAAAACCGGAGCGCAGTAATGCCCACATTACTGTTCGTCCAGTGAAGTACTGCTACCTTACCTATATCTGCTGCCAAGCAGTAATGTAGCATTACTTGTCAACTTATGTCTCAGGGTGACAGGCGCAGTGGCAGTGCCCCTCAGATCTTTGCGATTTAAGACTCTATTATTATATAAATTACAATTATAATTATTTTATGAAATGGAGACTCATAATCAAATATGCTAGTTACGCGTAATTGTACTCGATCTTTGCGATTTAAGACTCTGAATGGCACTGCAACTGTTATGGACAGGCGTGTCGTTTACCATCAGGCGCACGACTTGTTCGTCCCGTGACTTGATATTATCAAAAACAAGCTCGCCGCGATTGGCGCCGTGGACCCCACGTTGTACATTCTCGTGCTACTGCCACACTAATTGCCCCGCACTAGGAAGACTCTGTATTGCGGATGCCATGGACACACACATAGACAACCACAAATTACATCCAAACTCACGAGAGAAATAAATGTAGGCCATGCAAATATTTATCCCGGCCCGGGAATCGAACCCGAGACTTCTGCTTGTAGGCCCAGCATGGTAACCGTTCAGCCACGAAGGCAAAGAAGTAAAGAAGTGTTTATTATTATGCGTTGTGTATTAAATTTAAAAAACGTACCTTATAGTAATTACAAGCCTTTCTTGAGGTGTCACCTATGATCTTAACGGCCCGTTTATTAGACACGAATTTCTGCGCAGCGACCGCGTACATCTAACTGTCATGGCAAAATACGCTCTATTTTTTTTTGCTTTTACATTTTAACTTAAGAGGGAGCATGCCAAGAAGAAGAAGATTTAGCTGCGTTCACGCCTTGCTTTGTATTCGCTCGCAAGTCGCCAGTAAAAAACGCTAAAACGTAGTTTACTTTTAAAAAAACGATGTAAGCGATGGCTCCTGTCTGTACAGAAATCGAGTAACAGCTGGTCCCCAATTAAAACCTAAAAAATAATAGATTTTTAAGTTATTACTAGTTATTACTTAAGGTTGGTTATTACTTGGTATATACTCCACATATAGGCTCAGTGCAATAAGCGAACAGCTAGCTACAGGTGAAGTCAGAAAATTAGCAATGCTGAGTCTGTAACCTTTTTGTCCACATCACTCAAATGCATTTTCTGTTAGTTTTTAAGTATTGTATTTCCTATGTTTTGTTAAGAAATAAGACGTCGGTGATATTACAATTAGGCGTAACTAGCGTATTTGATTATGAGACTCCGTTTCATATAATAATTATAATTGTAATTTATATAATAATATCGTGGCAAGCAAATTAGCGTGATTTACGGGAATGTATCGTTATCAGTCCGTAGACAACATAAATTAATGCTTAGTGTGGAAATATGAAAGTCGGAGCTATTCAAATAAAAAGTAATAACCTTAAATTGATTTGGTGCAGATACGCGCTTTTTACGAATACTACATACGCGCGGACTTATTATCCCCGACGAAATATCTTTTTAATTTATTTTTTATTTACAATACTTAAAACATGTTTTGTAATGGAATAATTCAAACTCTAAAAACATTTTTATTTCGTGGTCATTTTCCCAGTACGTCGCAAGTCGTGTCTTGTTGTGCTAGCCCAAAATGAGACATGAGACAAATAGTCCAACTTCCTTCTTTAGGGCTTGCACGACAGGGCGTCAGAGCGGCATAAAGCGCGAGATCTATCGTATCTCGCTCTGTTGAAATGTTGCTCTCGCGCAAGTCGCACCTTTTCGTGCTAGCCCTAGCGGAGGAAGTGGGACTATTTGTCTCATTACACCTTCATATAATAACCGTTCCATAATGTCGACATAATTAGTAAACTAGTGAAATAAAACAATGATAAATGTGCTAAGATATTTATTTCATGTTGAATTTTAACAACTACATCACTACGTCGTACAGAGTTATTATATTTTATGTTGAATTTTAACAACTACATCACTACGTCGTACAGTGATATTAATGAGAGCTCGGAATTGCAAGCTGGTATTTGTATTAGTTGTTTTTATGTGAACGGAATATCATCATTTATGAAATCCGACTTCTCGCTAATGTCACTGACATTTTAACGCTACTAACTACTGAGAACTACCAGTTAACATTTTAGAGATAAAATTTATTAGATAAACTGGAATAAATTACATTAAAAATATTTTTTTGTTTACAATGGCATTTAATTCACTTAAAAAAATGGTTAACTAATCAGTTTGAAGAAAGTTTAGTTCAAGAAACAAATTTGCAAAATGAGCAACTCAACTCTTCAAAACTTTCATTCAAACGACCTTATAAAATTAATTGGAAATATAAACATCACCTTCGTTTAAAAATTAAATACTACAAATAAAAAAAAAATTCAAAGTTTTAATTTAATTAAAAATAAACATATTCATAAAATGAATTTAAGCATGAGCATCTCATCTGTTCAAAGATTTAGGGAATTTGTAAAAAAAATTTGCAACTATTGATTAAAATTTGGTATCTATTAAAATAATGGTTAATCAAACAGTTCAAGTTAATATTAAATGTAGAATCTACATATAGATATTATTATTTTCTTTATATTAATGTAGATATTTTATTAAAACACACCGACACATTTAGCGGAACAAGCAAAAAAGTGACAAAATACAACAGTATTATTCATATTTCAAGAAATTAAAAAATACGCGTAAAGTAACAATTTAATATACGTTGTACTGAAAGAATTGAAAAGTATGCGTTTGAAATAAAATTTACTGTAGAGAACACACCGCGACTTTTACCAGCGGCGCAAACGCGCGATTATGAAACACGCGATTGGATCGTTACACTTGCGATTTATAGCCAATTGTAAATTGGTGTAGTCGCGCGCCTGGGTCGTCGTATGTGCAAAAGGTAGGTGATAGCGACTGCATCGCGTTTGTATGGCTGCCAAAAGACGCCATGTGTAACTGCTCTTAAATGAATGAAAAAAAAAGCTGTTAGTTGATTTTCTACTTACAAATTAGACGTAAAAAGAAAGTAACACAACCCGGCCGTGTTTTGAAAAAGATTTTCACTGTTTTGGTTTATGCTAGTATTCCGCTAAATGTTTTTTTTTTTATAATATTAAATGACGGGACGAACAAGTTGTACGCCGCCGGTATAATATGTAATTTAATTCAAATGACTCTTTAACACGCTCGTCGCCGGATTGAATTTTCAAACATGTTAAAAAATTACGTAATTTTGCTTTTTTTATGATTTCAACCGGCGTGGACTGAACGGAACAATTTTTACTTTCGGGTCGCGCTTAGCACGTCCATATAATTGTCGATTCTTGTTTAACTAAAACCACCAAACTTCTGTTGATTGCAGATAGCGTTTGTCACCTGAGGCGTGTACGAACAACTCAAAGTTCGGTATGTCGTGCCGGACATTTCCGGCGATGAACGTGTTAAATTCTTTGAAACTAATTATTATAGATTTTTAAAACATTTAAGATACCTTTAATTTATAATAATATTATTATATGAGAATGTAATGGTACTACATGTGAAAGGGAAGAAATAGATGATTATATGAGTGTATATTTTTAGCAAGCATGAATGGAGTCAGCGTGGGGCATTTTGAAACTACGTCTGGTTCTTGGAAACTACTTAAGGTAATAATAAGGTTCTTTTTCATGCAAATACCTTTGGTATAGTTAAATTTTCATAAATAAACTTAAAAATGTAGAAAGGTTTATTGTAAAATACGAAATTCTATTTACTTTTTTGTAATTTATTAAAACCTTTTCAAAATTACACACAGAAAATTTTAGCAATGCGGTGAGTTTTCAATTTTTGTAATTTATGTTTTAAGTATCCTGCGCCGACGCTTCACATAATTGAAATAATAAACGCTATTTTCTATTGAGATAAGTATGTTTGCATTTATAATCTTTTTTTTTAAATCCAAGGATACCAAAGACAGATCCCCAGGCAGCGCAAACCGGCGGCCAGAAAGGCAGAAGACATAAACTTTACCAGGTATATTTTACGCCATTTAAATAAGGTCTGTATTTCAATGCTCTGGGATGTCGGACTGACCTCAGAGCATGCACGCAGCGCAGTTCTGCGTCTTAGAGCACTGAAATTAGTACCTCATTCAATTGTAATAGCGTAAAATATATATTAATAAATTTAATCTCATCTGCCTTCCCGTCCGCCGGTTTATGGTTGTGCTGTAATTAAATGCCGCGGAACGGAATGGAAGCAACGTTTTGTAACCACAGCATAATTAACTTTATGCCAATTGTTTTACGTACAAAGCGAGTTTGTTGCTGATGCAAGTTTTTTACACATTAGCGGATGCGGATACAAATCCCGTTTTCTGACCTTTACAGCAGCAGATGCTGACGCGGATGCATTTCTCTATTAAAAAAAAATCGAAAATAAATTATCGATCCTTATTGAATCTGCATGAAAAGGCTTTTCTATTTTTTTTAATGGTTTTGTGATGCTCACATTTTCTCAAAGGAAAGAATGACTACTGAGATGATTTTTGGGGTTGTAGTCTATTTCTGGATGGTTTGTAAATTAATGTCACGAAGCAAATATCCGCACTGAATATCAGCATTGATGAATGCGGAGGCTGATGCGGATGCAGATATTTCATTTTATGCGGAACATCCGCCAATGCGAATGCGGATGCTGACATTCGCAAGAACTCTCGCGTGGCATATCCAGTTTCTACGTTACACAAACGAAATAAAATTCATTATGCCATGTACAAATTCCGTTGAGCCGTAGTTTCAGATTTCTCCACGCTGTCCTAGTTTAGGAAAAACACTGTATGCACATTATTTTAAAACCAACATTGTATACCAAAGTACAGAATGTAACAACTATCGTTCGCCGTCCGACTCTGACATTCATCCGAAACAATTTCAGTCATATAAGTAATACGCGACATAATTAAAAGACGCATGATGCTAATGAAGCTTCGTACTTTCACTTGGTCGAGTATTACTTATTTGACAGTAATTGTAGACCCCCTGAAACTTTCTATCGCGAATATGAAATTAATTTTTGCTAATACTGCATTTTGTCGTAATTTGTTCGCTGTTGTACCTTGTATAAATAAATTATTAAGAAGATTTCTTTTTTCCCAGTTCGTTAGCTGAAAAAAAAACAACAACAGAACATTCCTCTGTTAATTTTCTTTGGCTGTATTCATGGTATACAACGTTGTTATACAAAATTTTGTCCAAGCCAGTTCAGGTAGTGAGTTATCCTCGTGTATACGCCGGGATATCCCGGCTCTCCACACTTGTTGCCGAAGGAGACCACGCCGATTTGAGTCCATCTCCCGTTCGCTAACAACATCAGCGGTCCACCGGAGTCGCCCTAAGAAAAACGTCAACTTGTAAAAAGATGGCTTCTTTCTCACTCGACGTGTAGGAAAAACCATTGTACCTACACTAATTAAAACGGAACTTAGAATTTTAAAACCGCAAGCGAAGTTGCAGATATATTCGCAGATGCAGATGTCTTGTGTTGTTAACGTGAATGAGTGATGGTATACTAAATTGCAACCGTGAAAAACCAGGGCATTGTAATATCAAAAACAAATTTTTTAGGTAATAAGTCAACAGCATGAAGTATGAAAACCGAAAAAGAATTGTCTTGTACAATTATTTGTTGGCATCAGTTAATATTTTACTTAAAATTGTTAGAATTATAAGACTGAATATATATTTGTATATCTTTAGTTGTCTTATTAAAATATTTTTTATTTTCGTTTCCTTATTTTCATTTACAAAAACACACAACTTGTATTTTCTAGTTTTTAAATGCTAAATTAATGCACACGCAAAATAGGCGCTTTGACGTCACACTACAAACAAACAGTTTAAAATACTATAGTATGGTATACTATAGTGTTTTTGTAATCTGTATCATTACAATAAAAATAAAATGAAAATAAAAATGGATGTAAAAATGACATTTAGGTTTATTTATTATGAATTTTGTAGCATGACACAAAAGCCTGTGAGAAGTTAAATACAGTACCTGGCAGGCGTCGACGCCGCCCCGGGCGTACCCGGCACACAGAAAAGTGTCGGTGATGGGTTGGAAGTACACTCGGTCGCAGTCTTCGTTGCGCCAAATCGGCAGCTTCGCCTCCAATTGACGCGAGCTCTCGCTTCCTCCGTACCTGATAATCGAATAATGTTACGATAAGTACGTTTTAAGTTGACCTTTGCTCCTTGCACAAAACTATATTTTCTTTTGTTGTCTTTATCGAACAAACAGAGTGGAAAAAAATATTTAAAAAATATTCAGAAAATACTTTCCGAAACATCAACCTGGGGACCTACCATAACCTCTTAAAACAATATTACTTTAACCTTACATTGACTTTTCGTACCATGACGCGCTCAAAGTAAGCTTATTATAATGTTGCAACTATGATGTTTTATTGGCAGCTTTGTGACTATTCATTCACTCAGTTCGTCCTATGACGCGGCTTAACATTAAAGTAATATTGTTCTTACGTCAAATTTAGCAATCTTATAATAGTTACACGGATGCAATGGAAACAATTTTGTTGATTTGTAATGATTAAACGTTAAGTTGAAGTTATTTATTTACTATCTCTTCAATATTTTATTTTTTTATTTAATAATATATAGGAAATAATTTCGCTAAATTATGACAGCGCCATCTCTATGCTCCTTGGCGAAACTAACAGTTGACACTAGACTATAGTTCCGAATTCACAACGTGACTATCAAGACTCGGCTTGTTTTATTTATTTTTCTTCAAATAATTGAAAACAATGCGGAAAAATAATTGAAAACAATGTAATACATATAGGAAATGAAACTATTTTTCCGGATTTAAATCGCGTATATTTGTTTTTTCAAAGAAACCGACGTTTCGGGCCCTTTACAGGTCCCATGGTCACGGTTTTTATTCTAAGTTAAGAACATTAAAAATTGACGTAATTGCATGGGGACAGGCAGGTACACTATATTTGTTTTAACTTTGCGACATACAGTGGGTCGGATCTGCGATATTGCGGACATTGTATTCTCCGTTTTCTGTCTATGTTCCTCGACGTTTAGGTAAAAAAACTCTACCTATTCCTAGACATGGGGAATACCGTTACATTTCTATCGCCGTGGTTGTCGATCCGGTTCCAACAAAAAATCACAGTGATAAATCATCGTGATTTTGTCACGACTGTTACTTCCGTGACCATGTCACGCCTATAACTTACATCACGACATACGGTTTTAGCCAGCGGCTTCTTTCTAATACTTATAGCCGTTTTTTATAGAATGATTTAAGTTTTTGCTCCCTTTTTTATAAGTTTCAATTCCATTCAAAAAGTTGATTTTGTATTTAATGTAATTTTGTTTTTTCTTATTTAATGCGAATCTTTGGATTGTTAAAAATAGCAATAAAATGTAATGTAATTGTTTTTCTAGTAGAATACACAAAGTAGAGATTTCGCCAAATACATAAATATAAAATATCAGCTCTTCCTATAATAAAACAAATATACAAAAATATTTTACTGTGTTCATAAATAGGTTTATAATAACTACTGCAGATTTTTTTCATCCGCCCTTTCTAGTAGTAATAAGCACGTACGACGTTGTGAGTGAGCAAAGAAAGTGATCCTATTTCATTCACTCCCATGGCCGAAATGGCCCGATTTGAAGAGAACTACAACGAGTGGCGCGCTCAGTCACCCCGGAACGGAGATCGCGCATTGTATCAAATACCTATGTCGTGATGTGAGTGACGGGGATAGCTATTGGAACGGAGGAATACCTATGTGACTTTGGAACGTCGTTCCTTCGGAACGAGAGACGGTGATACTGTTTGACGGCGGATCATCGTGATTTTTTCATCGTGACGTTATTTATCACCCACCTCTACCTATTCCCATCCCTGGTAATAAGTGAAGAGATAATATTACTTGATCCTCAAAGATATAATTGATCTATTGTAAATGTCATCACCATCATCATCATATTAGCCGGAAGACGTCCACTGCTGAACACAGGCTTCCCGCAAAGATTGCCAGACGAGTAGGGGGCTGCCCCACTGAACGCCTTCCGGTTCGTGGTCTACATTCGAGAACCTTTCTATCGTTGGGGCAGGCCGTTAGTGCTACGAACTTGCTAATCCTTTGTGCTATATCGGTGACTTACGTTCTTCTGCGGATCTCCTCATTTCTGATTCGATCACGTAGAGAAATACTCCATGGCTCGTTGACTGAATTTGAGCTTTTTCATGAGGCCTTTAGTAAGTGACCACGTCACAGAGCCGTAGGTCATCGCTGGCAATACGCACTGCTCGAAGACTTTTGTCTTCTAGGGCTGCGGTATTGCGGACGAGAAGACGCCCCGAAGCTTCCCGAAAGTTGCACCGAGTCAAATTCGACGATTGTAAATGTGCACTGTTTTAAATAAACGATTTTTTTTGTGTCTGATGTATATATTAACTGTTTCGTTTATATTAGTTGATCTACGGATAAATTATAAATGAACTGCAGTCAAGGTGACACTATCATTATGTTTAAGCATATTAAATTATTATTTGATAGTCAAAAACCTTGGTTGCGTCCTCCATTCAGTAGGTTAAGTTAGTACATGAAAAAGCAGCACGAGCCGAGCGAACGCAGCGGACGTGCCGCGGCAGCGGCCGGCGTGAATCAAAAGCGAATTTGCTTGCGTTTTTTAATGGTCATTTGTCTTAGTTTTGGGGCTTAACATGAAACCGTTCATTTATACAAATCAAACGTTAGCTGATTATAGATATATATAATAATAACGGAATATATTAAAATATACATTGATTTAATTTCTACAAATACATTATTACTTAGGCACTGAGACACAGGAGACATTAAAGAAATACTAACCTGGTAGTGCCCCAACCGACGACGGTAGCGATTTCACCGTCGAACAGTTTATTAGCCAAACTGCCTTTGGGTAAGCAAATCGGGATCACATACTTAGACTTCTGCACGTTCTCTGCAACAATCGGACTAGATTACAAAATGTAATGTGCAAAATTACCTACAACAATAACGGATGTAATTTTCACGAAAATCAATTAATCATTAATACAATTATAGAAATCAGTAGCAGAAGAGCTCCTTGTGAAAGAGTTCGTCGTGGGTAGTACCACCTTACTTGTTTCTGAACTGAAATCTTAGCATTACTGTGTTCCGGTTTGGAACTTGTCAACTTATGTCTCAGGGTGACGGGCGCAGTGGCAGTGCACTTATGTCTCAGGGTGACGGGCGCAGGCCCTGCAGATCTTTGCGATTTTAATCTCTGAGTGTCACTGCGTGTCGCTTACCACCAGGCGCACGACTTGTTCGTCCCGCCACTGTGTACTATAAAAAACGAAATCAGCGCCTTCAGCACTTTCGGCCGCGATATTACGACATTTACGTTACATTATACATCACGAAACTGCATTACAAAATTTTGTGACCTTTTGTCACAAAAACAAATCTAACCGGCGAAGTATCTCCTTTTTCTGAACAAGGTTGTGAATGGTATCATTAATTGTGACCAAATCCAAGAACGCATAAAAATCTGTGTTCCATTTACTTATCCCAGGCACAGAATCACAAAACTTTTTTGTCTCACCTTGTCGTACAAATATACTTCTGAATTCGCCTTTGTGTAGAATGTGTCGTACTTATAACACAATTAATAATTGCAATTCAACTGGTCTTGACATTTTTAATGTTCTTTCTATAAATTTCAATGTAAATTGCGTAATTATTAAGCTGTAGGAACAGCTTAATAATTTATTTTCATTGTTATTTCTTTTATCTTTCACAAAATATTTAATTAATACAATTGCACTGTCGTATTTACTTCAATCAACTGTTTATAATCAATTAGTTACCTTAAATTTGAGTACATTAATGAATAATTGGATTATTAATATTTAAAGTTGTTTTATTCTGTTATTATTTTTGTATCTGGGTATGTATTGATTGATGTGGATACCTGTAATTGGCTTACACATAAGAACTGTGCCTTACCGAATGTTGTCTTTTAATCTTATTGTGTCTGTGTAATCTGTTGGTGTTCCAAATGAATAAATAAATAAAAAATAGGGGTTCGCCGCCTCGTTTCGTTCTCGTTCGTTTCCATGTCTATGGAAACTCAATAAAACTGAAAATTAGTATAGTAGGCTATTCGAAGTACTGTTTACCCGCTCACGCGATGCGCTCCTCCTACCGCAAAATGGCGGCTATTTGGTTTCGCAAATTAGAAAAGCATTCAGTTTAAATACAAGTTTTTATAAATAAAAATTATTATTCTGCATTGCTAAATAAATACCCTCCGTACTACCAACAAAAACATCTCAAATAAAATGCAGTAATACACTGCACTTAAAAAACACTAATGAAATTTTTGGTGTACTTGGATAAATATGATATTATTCCGTTTGAGTGGTTCTAACATTTACCATGAAATTACTCCTTAAAGTATAGTTTATAAACATTTATATTCAGGGTAAACTTAAAAAACGCTACTTACGGTATGTTTTCTATAAATAAACACCGAAATCCCCAGCCCAAACAATAACACACACGATTGCCGTGATGTATTTTTGAAGTTGTTTATTTTATAGCATTAGCAATTAATGTTAGTTCTTTTACCTGTTATAACTTCGATATCCGATAAATCGGTATAAAATCATCACCGGCACCTTTAGGTGTGGTATGCGTCTACGGCTGCATGTATCGCGTGAGCGGGTATTCTACGCAGACGAAGTCGGGAGCACATATTATGTAACATTTTATAACTCTTATTAAAGCGTAATAACTTACCGACTAATTTCAAATTAAAGTACGAAACCCGCTGTTTCCGTACGTACATACGGTGTAACAAGATGTCTGCAACATGGCGCCTAGATTTTTATTAAATCTAAGATATTTCATAGAGTATAGTAAATGATAGTAACCAATACATATAGGATTCTTCAACTAATAATGCAAGGGAAATCCAAAGATAAAGAAAGCGTAGTCGTGGCAGAAGGAGATCCTTCAGTTAAATGCTATATAAGTGAAGGTAGCTGGTGAACACAAAGACTGATTGGTCAATGTCGAACTAATGTTCACTACGTTTTTTTTTTATAAAACATAAGTGCGCATTTGACCTCCATCTCACCTGATGGAAAGTGACGATGAGGTCGACGATGAAGCATGCACACCTAAATAATGCCAATTTCCGTGGCAGTTTCAATTATTTAAATATTCAAGCATATTATCGTGTAATTATTAAATAAGTTTAAAATAGAATAGAATAGAAACCATTTATTGCAACGCCACATAACAAGAAACAAGCTCAAAAAGTGATAAGAATAAAAAAAAAACAGCGTAGCTAAAATTTTAACCAAACAACAAATTTTACTGTATAAATTAATACTATACTGACATGTGTGCGGCCGTGGCGTATGCAAAAGGACGTCATTCACCTAAAGCCACAGCCGAGAATGGGCTGTGACGCTGGTTTTCAATGGACCCTAACGAATGAGAGACAGACGTGTGCGTTGTACTGTATTGTGAAATAAATATTTCATACTTCATACTTCTTCAATACTCGAATAGTGCCATTTGTGTCGTTAGGATAAGGACTAGAAGAAGAATACAATACACGGATATTAAATAACATTGCACGATAAAAAAACATCGAATACGTAAATAATAAAAACTGCCACGGAAATTAAGTAGTGAACACTGAGAATGAATGAGATACGAGTTGGTAACGATTTTTAATGGGTTTCGAAGAGATTAACTCAAGTTCTGGTCGTTTGTTTGTCGACAGTGAAATGTAAAATATTCAACAAGTGGAATCAAGTGGCGGAAGCACTAGCGGAGTACACAAACATATAAAAAAATATTCATCACAATGTTTACTTTCTCTTTAGAATGAGATAAAAGATAATTAAGAAATCGGGGAATTTTGAGAGTACCCGTAAGGAGCAGCCCAGCACAGGGAGACAAAATTTTATAAACCGGATCAAATTCTAATCATCGTTATTTCATATGCAAGCAAATTAGACTTGAAATCGTCATACTGATTAAACTCTACTTACTGCTCATTCGTACGGCGGAATCCCCTGAGAAGAATGAGCAAGAAACTCTATCTTTGTAAATATACATTTGAATATATTTAACATTCACAATATTTATTTCAAAATATCTTAGATTGAGACCACCTGCAAGAGCTAAACGGGTCACTGTCACGAATTTTTATCACCCAAGTACGCAGTAGCTGTATACGTATAAATATAAATAACTTTTAGTACAAAGTTTTTGTTTCACTACAGTTTTAAGACTCGTTAATGGCAAATTTTGAATATCAACCGGAATGTTATTATGTGAATTTGTGACTTTGAGAAGACGACTGGCAAGAATAGCTAGTTTATTTTTATTCCACGTGTTATTACTTGGTACTTGGTGCAACGGGCTGGTTTCCGCAACTCGACGACAAAGCGCCTATTTTCCACGTGTTATTAATGTCTGTCACTATTTTTAATAAAAAAAATGACTATTCTCCTTAACGAAATAAAAATTATTATTTTCGCAAATGTACTTACGGACCGGTTCTATGAGGTCTACCTCGCCAACGTACCTAACTATATAGGTTGTAAATTGGTCAGTGTGACGAATTTCAAAGGCACTTTTTGAGTGATTTTTGTAAAACCCGTTTTTCTTTTAGTTTTAAAGTCTTAAACGTACGGACAAGTACAAAAATGTCAATAATTATTAAATCACAGAAATATTTGAAAAAACTACATTTTAGGTCACACGAAAGAGATTGCCGTAACCATAAGTCAATGGCCGTAACGTATTATGTCAATGCCGTAACGCGAATAATTTTCGCATAAACCCAAATGAGAAAGACGGCACGGTAATGAGATTGACTATTATAACCATTGACTTACAAATAAATGGACGACGGGTCTAATACAAAAACCACGAAAAAAATGTCCCAAGTCAACCTATTCGAAATTTAAATTGTTATGTCATCGCAGTATCGCGCTGTCCGTAGAACAAATGAAGTCTAAAGCGGAGTGTCGCGCTCTGTATACGATTTTAGCGCCTTACAAGTGCGGACACTTTTTAGCGCGGACCCGACGTCCATATAATTGTAAGTCAATGATTATAACACACATTTTGTCGTTCGCTTCTTGTAACAAAATCCTTCTCATCCGTGAAAGGCATCTATCTAAATAAGTAAGACTTAAAACGAGAACGAGAGAGACATTAATGATTATTTGGATACATAGTTTATTGTCAAGGCCGTAAAATATTCTAGATCGTTATAAAAGTGCGTGGAAATCCGACAACAAAATCCGAAAATCCGAAAAAAAAAACGCACTTTAAAATTAAAGTTCCCTTTGTCTAATTGATGCACAATAAAGTTTATAAGACTATAGTTTGTGAGAATATCGTATTGGAGAGAATTAAAACTCAAAAGGAAACGGATTATGTAACATCATTTTCCTACACACAATAGTATAAAAAACGGTAAATTCTTACCAGCAAGCACGAGCACGGCGATGTCGTTATAGAAGCCGATCCTGGAGAATTGTTCGTGTGCGCGCACAGCGGTCACCCGCAGTGTGACGGGTCGAGAAGGCTCATCATCGCGCAACAAGTCCACGTCACCAAGACGCACGCTGAATTGCCGTGCCGGAAACCTGACAAAACACGCCTGCCTATAGCAACCAGAAAATTGCCTACTCACACATGTAATAACAATATTTTCATATTCCCCATATTCAGCTGTAAAAACGAGGCAGATTTCCATTAACCGGACGGCTCAGAATTTGCCTATCCCTCTCACTCGCTGTCATTTCCAGGTTCGTACAGGGGGCCTACTATGAGCTCCTATAGTAATCCTATTTAAGCCTGTAAGTCGGATTGCCTGTCAAATTCGTACTATGACCTCAGTAAAACAATTCACTGTCTATGCAGTTTATGTTCCCCATTCGACATCCTTTCACCTTTTCTTTCAAAGCAAAATCGTATCAAGACGTCACGCAAATCTATAAAAATAAGCAATTCCAAAAAGTTACTCCGTGATTACCTTTTTTTTAGATTTTATTACATTTTTAAGAAATTTTGTTTAAGGTTTGTTATAATTTCAGTTTCATAATTATTTGTTATCTTTTTAGGCTTTATAGCCAATTGTCAATAAATAAATACTATTAACTTTACTATAGAGCGTTTTTTGAGTTTCTAATCTTTAAAGTATTGTTGATAAATTATTGACATGAATGTTATAGCAATTTTTAAATGGAATTTTAATCATTTTAATAATTTTATTGACCGAAAATCGTAAAATAACTTTTAAATAGTGCCAATTTTGACAATAATGCAATCAATGAAAATGTACGTTCCAATTATATTCTCAAATTACAAACTCGCCTTTTTAATTTCAATGATAATGACTAAACATGACATGTAATTTTGTCGTACGACAAATTGTAAAGTATGATTGAAAAGTTGCCGATATTACAAAACAACGTAATAAGCATAATTAATAACAAATATAATTATTCTCATTTTGAACACAATCTGTGCTTGTGCTTAAACGCACCCAGGATAGTACATCTGTCTATTTCTTTCGTATGATTTAGTATGTAGTTTCATCTCGCTCTTGTTAGAAGTCAGCTAGCTAGCCAGAGACAATAATTAACGTTTAAAAAGTAAAATTCATCATCCTGGCATACCATTCCCGTTCCACTTTGTGTAGGTCATGATTGTATGGAACTTGGCTGGCTGGTTATAAGCTCATAGTAGGCTGAGCTTTTAATAACTTTACCAATACGCATAGCGAAGCTTCAAACAATTTTTGAACATGAAATACTATAAATGAAGGACAACACTTTTTGACGTGTAGCCGGCAGTGTTATCAGTTTTTCGTCAATCGGTTACAAACTCATTAAAATGTTGGATATCGTGAAATCTAATTTGCGTGATATTTGAATAAATGGTTGTGAAAAATGTATATAATGTATAAAAAATGTATATCCAAAAAAATATTGAGAATTGCACCGTATATTAATGTAACTATAGGGTATAAGCTACACTAAAAATAATCTAGGATAATCTCTAATATAACATACTCAGTAATAACTCTTGTAACGACATGCACTAGTTTACCTATTCCATAAATTATTTTTATACTCCTCGCTTTCAAATAAATAGCGATTGTTTAAGTAAATACATTGAATTAAAGTAAAAATAACACTAAATCAATACTTATTTGTGAATGAGCGGAAAAAATATTTTTTTGTTCCAAATTTCTATATTTTTTTACGACAGCGTGTCAAGATTATTTCATTAGGCTACAATTTTGCTAGAGATGAGGTATGTTGATAAAAAGTTTTCGATAATTTAATGAAAAAATGTATAGTGCGTGTATTCATTCTTAAAGTATGAATTTTAACCACAGACAATTAAACGATATATCAGTAAGTACTATTACTTTTTTTAAACCTATAAATTAATAATATGATAAATGTTTTTTTAATTTATGAAAATATCAGTTCAAATCGCATTTGAACTGTAGTTGTGTGTTTTGTGCCTTTAATATAATACAAAACATTTCACATCTATAAAATAAGACTATAAGAGGGAACCTGTGCTCTAAAACTTAAATACACTAAAATATATCGACTTTACCTCATCCTTATGACAAACGTCAAATCGAGTGTCACAGGGATTAAACGTAGTGCTTAAATTCTCTTTGACAGGGATTCGCTCTTTCCATTTGGAGGGAAAAGTGTCGTTTTTATTTTGACTTTCAATTATTTTGTGAAATCTACTTTAAAGTGGAACAGGATAGTGCTATTGTGCCTTAATCGAAGATTAAAACGCGACATTATACGAATCTCGAACTAAAATACCCGTATCGGCCCGTTTTAAGGAATTCCGAGTCAATCCAAGCACGCCGCCTCAAATTGCCTATCCGTTTTGTGGCGGCCATATTGACAGAAACATAATTAAACGAAGACATGGCTCAAAGGACAGCGTGACAGGGATCATCGTAGTTCGTGTTTGGTACCTTTGTATGGGTGTGTGTGTAATCATCATGCATCCTTTAAAATGACTTTATTTTATTTTCACCCAAGCTAGATAGTATGGTCACTCACGGTCGTTGCTTGGAGTCTCTAGTGCAATGTGCGGCAGTAAGAACGTGTCGCTTGTCAACGAGGGTGCCGCCGCACCAGAACTCGCGCCTCTTGCTGCCGTGCAGGTAGATAGCGGCCATCCAGGGCCATGCGCCTGGTTTGGCCTCCGTCCCACCCACTATTCGGCCGCCTTCGTCTTCGCGTTGCCCGCAGTCTGTCCAACAAATGAAAAAGTAGTAAGTTGCTGTTGGCGCAATATAGAAGGATTATTATTATTTCAGAAGGTATTACACAAGTAAACTAAGTAAAAGTATTTTATGTTGTTGCTGCTGTATACAAAAAAAAAAAAGATTTGAAGCTCGTGATTCGGGGAAATATAATTTTTTTTTTCAGAATGACGAAAAGTTCAGAGTTGTCTTTGGTCCTCTTTTTTTACTTTTTCATTTAACGATATACAACAAATAGTCACTCCTCTGTTCAACATGACAACTTGATTATCAAACATTTTGAATGAAAATTACGAGAGCCCAAAAATGTATGTATTAAATCACATTAGATATCAATTACCAAAGAAGGTTAACACTGTTGTAGCGCAAGCTAATAATTATAATACCAGAGTATTAAATGGAATAGTAAATTTAAATTATAATTCAAACAGTCTTCTATGTTGAATTGGACAATAGTCCGACAACCCACACCCTGTAGAATAAAGGTTTACTGTGCTCTTCTTTAACAACTTTAACACTGAGGTTACTAAAATATAACAGACACTTACCGTTTATATCCACAATGTTGGAGAAGTTGCCGATGGTCAGCGGCGGCACGGTCGCGAAAGTGGAGGTTGGTGGAGGGCGCGGCGTCGTCACGGAGACGATGGTGGTCGGAGGCCTTGTACTAGGCACAGGCTTAGGCCTCTTTGTCGTAAGTATCTGGATCGCCGAAGGCTTTTTCGTCGTCGGAGGTTTCGGCACAGGTCTTTGCGTTGTTACTGGCACCAGATACGTCGGCTTAGCGGTTGTTATCACTATTGGCTTCTCTACCGCTAATGTCGATGGAACTATTGCGTCCTTTGGACAACACACTCCCGGAACAAACAAGTCTTTAAAACACAGTGATTCTCTTAAATTAATTAAGTTTAACAGGAGTTGTGGACAGTTGCTTAAATCTTCGCAAATCCCCTCTTCGCCTTCGGGTGTAGTACAGGCTTTCGAGTTTGGTTTTTCACCTGCAGTTGCTATTTTGGTGATGGGAGCGTCAGGCAGTACTTTTGGCAACGCTTGTTTTACAATTGGCGCTATCTTATCCGTAACATTTCTCCCGAGCACGTTCTTGCTGATTGTGTAGATGGCCTGCGGTAGCTGTTGTAGATTAGGGTCAGATACGTTTTGTTCGTCTTCGTTTACCATGCCCACTAAATAGTGCCCCACGGTGTTGATAGCACCGAGTGTCTCCGAGATTTTAGAAAAAGCTGAATCCGACAACAATCTGCCATCATTGGGACTGTCTCTAGTTTGAGAAGTAATAAGATTGAATCGTGCTCGGTTATGTTCCGGTGTTCCTTGGTGTTGTTGAAACCCAGTGCGTATAATGGGATCTCCATTGAATCCTAACATTTGATGTTGTTGCGCATTGTTGTAATAGCCAACTTGCAGAGAATCGGGTGATCTTTTCCTGGGTGATGAAAATTGATGCCAACTTGGGTTTCTGGGTTGACTTCGAGGGTTTGCCCAGTCACCCGGTGTCTGCAGGAAAGCGACTGAAACAAAGTTACCGTGTCAGTTATGAAGTAAATTAAGCCACGACGTGTTGTGAATGACGTAATGAAAAGAATTGATGCATACCTACCCGGATGGAGCGCTGGGTACTGGCATATAGAAGGGGGTGATGTTATGATGATAAAAGCTGGAACAAACGGAAAATAAAACACATGATATACTCAGCAATATAAACATTAACAGAAATTTCTGGAAACAGTGTAACCCGTAATTAAAAACGCGATGTAGGTCAAACTTGAAATAAGAGATGGCCAAGCAAACGAGGCAAAATGAAATCGATTCATCCTAATGAGCCAACGCTACCTAAGTTAACGGGGAAATCACTAGAACAGAACTCACCAATAAATACATCAACAAAAGTAGTCAATACTCAACAAATCCTAATATCCTAACGAGTTTATCATAAATATCACCCATAATAAAAAATTTTGATGTCTATAGATTTTAACGCAGTAGTACACGAGGTCAGTATAAAACAATATGGCAAATGCTAGGTCTTTATGTGAAATAAAACCTAAGCGACCTATTTTCGTACAAACGAAACTGGAGGTTCAAAGTGACGTTTTGAGTGCAACAAAGAGCAAGAGGTAAACTTTGTTCTCTGACTTGGCATACCAAACCTTGTAATGTTTATTGGAATTAAGAGAGAAAAGAAAAAAATAATTTTATACATTCAAATCATCTAGTTAAAGGCAACATTGGGTGGGTAAGCATAAACTGGAAGCGGTGGAAGTAGCTGCCAACTCTCTGGAAGCTTAACCACGGCGAAGAAATACGAAATTTCGCTTGTAGCCACTACGTACGGACCTAAGGTTTCCTCTGTCTGAGGCAGACGAAATGTAGGAGACTGTCTGCACAGGTCGATTGCTATCACCAGTTCTGTTAACAGAACTACTTGTACTTCTATTAACAGAACGAGACAGATTTACGATTCCCACTGGGTCTGCAGGTTCTGTCCGATTAATCCCACTAATTCTGCTGTCTAATGTTTATTTGTTCATGCTACGTGGTAAGTTATGAAAATATTTTTCGGTTTTTCCGTCGACGCAATTATTCGTATAGCAATTTCGTAACTTGAACCAACCTCAATACGGGCCGGAAAATACGTGCACCGCATACCGTATATAGTCGCGCCAACACTCGGTTAATAAATACGCAATACGCATTGCATTGATCAAGTATCACTTGGATTAGTATCGATTGGAAGTTTTGCTACGAAAAAAAAGGAAACATGGGAAGATATCGTTGTCTGTATACAATAACAAATTACTATTGTTGAAGATAGTAGTCAAATAACACGTAAATTTCTCGCAAGTTGCAGTGCACATTGACATATAAATGGCGTCACGCGTTCTGAGTTGATACCTAGTAATTTTTTTGAAAAAACATTTAATTATAGTTTTATTTCTAAAATTATATTTTTGAAATAGTACATTGTACAACAAGTGCATAAAACGCGTCACTTTGTACCCGAAACGAGTATATCCAATCGAGGTGCAGGCGAGTGTGGATACTTAAGTCGAGGGCAAAATGGGTTTTATGAACGAGTTATACACTCTGCTTTTCACTTCGATTGCGAGGAAATTAAACAGCAATATTACAAATAAACGATTATTTAATTCAAATTGAATGTTGATGAAATAACAACAATTAGACATATTTAATGTGTAAGTTTTTCCTGGCATATTCAGTGTATTACTTTGCATTTTATTATAAACTTGAAATATCTCCAATGTTACGGGATTTCTTTGTACTTTATTTTATAAAGTTCCAGTGTCCAGCAGGTGTCCAGCAGGCGTCATTGCCTCGGTGTTAAACGACGATTTTATTTTATGCACTAGAACATAAAATCCTATTTCATGCAGCTTACACCCAGCATAAATACAAACTTTAAGAACATGAGAAGTGAAAAAATAATTAGACACACGCTCGCTTGACACGCGTTTCTAAAGAAACGCCTATTCACCCATAGTATTGATTACCCCAAATTGCAATATTCAATTAGAAAAGAAAGAAGCAAAATGCAAAAGTTGTAAAATGAAGCGTGTTTGTGAGTGTGTCTGTACGTGTATGTGTGTTGCAAATGTAATTAATTATTCTTGAAATAGTCAAAATCTTTGGCCCCAATTTGTAAGTCCGCACTACGTGACTATATGGCTTGAAGTGTTTGAAAAAACAAACATACGCGATTTAGATCCAAACTTAGAATAATAACACCGCACACGCTAAGTGAGGCAAATTGAAGCGCGCCAAAAGGGCTTACACGAGCGGGCGGGCCTTCAGTGCCAACTTCAAGGTCAACTTGCACCGCGAACAGATCAAGAATTTTAGCTAAAAATGACGAAATGTGCGGTAAATGAGTGTAAAAATACGTCAGACAAACATAAAATAGATACTAACATCACATTCCACAAGGAAGTAAAGCGTTTCAACTTGTATTTTTATATAAATATTCATTAAAACCGAAAATTAACCTACTACTACATGAATTTGATTTTTGCCTCACTTGTGACAGTTCGTTTGATATGAAACTATCATTCCATGCGTTATTATTCTAAGGATCCAAAATTATAACGTTTTTATAAAAAAAAACCGATCAAAAGTTCGTGGAGTTCTATATACCTATATCTGTTTCACAAGTTTTATTGAAATCGGTTACCGGAAAACGGATTCATACCCTAGTCTGCCATCCATAGAGGTGGTATACTTTCTTCAAATTTAAATGTGACCACTGAGGTACCCTCTTTCCAATAAAAACAGAATCAGTAACATACATAAAAAGAATACATACCGTCGAATTGAGAACCTACTCTTTCCTTAAAAATAGTTTCATTTCCTATGTGTAACAGTCGCGAGTACCTAAGAAATATTTATGTGAAAGGCATGTGAAAGGTTACAAAATAGAAATGTTGGTCAAGAACTCAAAGTCAAAGTCAAAGATTATTTATTCCATAGGTAAAATAAATGTACACTTGAAAACGTCACATTTAAGCTACTGCTCGTTCACTACGCTGACCTCCCTGAGAAGAACGAGCAAGAAACTCTAGGGACTGCACTTTTCAAATAAACTTAAATGCTATGGAATATACTTTGAATCAAATTTGTGTGGATTCTGGAGCCGTGTCGTCTTTCCATACATCTTTATCTAACACGTAGTCTTCAATTTTGTAATATGATTTTTCAATCAAAATATTTTTAATGTAGTTTTTAAACTTAGGAAATGATAAACTTAATATACGCTCCGGAATCTTATTGTAAAAACGTATATATACAGTTCCCCATAAAAGAGTTGTTTACCTTGGTGAAACGAAATCGTGGTACCATGAGTTTGGACTTAGCTCTAAGGTTAATATTATGGATATCTTCTTTCTTATTGAAATTATGTATATTTTTACGGGCATATAAAATATTTGAGTAAATGTACTGTGAAACCACAGTCATGATACCAGTCTCCTCTCAAAACTCAAAACAGCTGTGTCTATTGTGAGTAAAGAACAAAAGAAAAACGCTGAGCACGTTCAAATGAAAAGCGATTTTAACAGCATTGCATAATGTATCTCACAGAAAGTGGGCTGAGTGCTTTCACGTTCCACGTACTTCATTGGCAAAAGCGTCACTCGCGATTGAATTAGCCTGTGATGGAACTGAACATTCAATTTTTATCCGTGTCCATTTTTGCAAGGACGATGTTCATAGGTACGCTAAATTGTAAGCCTAAAAATCCCTCAACACGAACCACTTTACGGATTAAACTTTCAAAAGACTACTTATGTCCCTACTAAGAGTGAATTAAGAAGAATTCTGGTTCTTAGGAAATGAAACTTTTCCTTTTTTTTTAAGATATCTGTCCAAAGCAGTTGCAATGTTGCTCAGGGGCACCGGGTGAGAGTCGTATTCCAGAACTCTACTCAATACTCAAGTCAGGACTTGAGAAAATCATACTCAAGTCCTTGCCATTAGGTTCGTATTTCCAGTGCTTGAAGTCATAGTTAAGTCTGCTCAAGTCCTGACTTGAGCATTGAGTAGAGTTCTGGAATACGACCCTGAGAGGTGAGTCATAACGGGATCAGTGGGTGAGGGTGCATACACAGGTTTTTAGCCCCATTAGCAGATTCATATTATGATTCTAATACGATTCATATTTCAAATCGTAAAAAGGTAACTTAATTTACAATTCATATTACGAATTGTTAATTCATATAACGCAATTGCTTAGCAATTCATAGTTGTTTTATCGATGAACATAGTTATTTACACTAAATTCTCGTAAAAATCATTTATGAATTACAAAATAAAATAAAAAAAGTGTCGCTAAAGCTTTTTGTTGTTCGTTTTTTGAACAGCTTTGTTTAATGTACAATAATCAGAATCTGCTGGTGAATTGAATTTGATACATGACTAAATAAGAGTAATTGTTACAGAAATTATATATATAAAATAATTATGGTCGAATAATTATTTATTGCCAAGATTTTATTTTTAATTAATTTTATTTAGTTTTCTTTTTTGTTATTCATTTTCTGTTTGTTTTAATTTAGTTTGTTTTAAGTTTAATTTAGTTCTGTTTTATTTTAATTTTTTTTTTACTTTTAATTTTTTACTGTTTATTATTGTGTTGTGGTGTTTTGTAATAAATGTATTCTATTCTATTCTAAATTTAAAGAATTCTGTAAATAATAATAATAAGGTCTTATTAAGGTCTTTATTTTCTCACCACAATATAGGTACATTGAGTATAATAACAAAAACTATACAAAAATAAAAGGGATTATACTGTGGGAGACTGGTGCCTAAACTTTACGTATTTCAGGTCACCAGGACTCCACCTCTTGGAAAACACAAATTTGCAACTTAGGGTCGTATTCTAGAATTCTACTCAATGCTCAAGTCAGGATTGCAATTGAAACACGAGCACTGGAAATCCGACCCTAATGGCAGGGACTTGAGTATAATTTCGAGTGCTATAAACCATACTCAAATCCTGACTTGAGCATTGAGTAGAGTTCTGGAATACGACCCTTAGAATTATATACTTGTACATTGATAATTGCAATGATTTGCTTTAAATCGCAAAGATTTGAAGGGTACTGCCAGTGCGCCTGTTACCCTGAGACATAAGTTGACAAG